GCTGAATATCAATTCAATGAAGGATCCAATTCAGTCACTCTTTCTTTTACAAGCAGGCATTTAACACTAGAACCGCCACTGGGTAAATTTTACCTGTGGCTGTTTTTCAAATGTACATAACAGATTTAAAATAAAACATTCAAGTCTCCCAGTCATTGGCTTTTACTAAAATTATGTAATTTACAATCCAATGTTGTTAACAATTATTTCGATAAAACCAGATAAACAAGCCGATGGCATTTATACCTATAACCGCCAGCGGGTCAAATTTACCCGCTATATAATGCATGTATTTTCGCGCTGTCATTTTCTTGCTGCTTATGTTTTAACATTGTACATTGCAAGGCAACGCCTTTCACTCACTGATTTAGCGCTTATCAGTTTCATAAATAAAGTCAAAATAACTAAAAAAGGCGATTTATGGAAGGTAGGCATTAGAAACACTAAATGCCATGAGTGATGGAGAGTCTGATGGTAAGTTATGCGTCCTGGGTCAGCTCAGCATCTGACGGCTCATCTGACAGTGATCCAGATATCATATTTACATGTTTTAGCCTAACGTTACTCTAATTGGTCAAACTTTGGTTTCATTATTAAATTTTTGTCTTGCCATATCGTTTATTGTTCGCTACTGTGTTGCTATTTAAGAAAGATAATTTTATTTTAAGAAAAATAAAAAAATCCGATCTGATGTATAATGAATAAATCCATAGGCTATTTTAGTAATTTAAATAGCATGGGTTATCTTAATATACTGATTAATGACATTGTATTATAATATTACACCACCCAAATATTTAGGCTACTACCTTCTAATTTCCGTTGTCTGTGCAGGCTTTTTTTATTTTAGTATACTGACCGTTATGGATTAGTGTAACCTGCATTAAAAAGTCTTGAACATAAAACAACAGGATAAAAATATAGTTGATGACTAGACATAATCATTTCATGACTCTAGACACTTCTTTGTGAAGACAGTGGCATAATACAGTGAAATAATATGTTCTTTAGCCATATAAATACAGCTGTCATGTGCATGGGTAAAATTTACCCGCTGGCGGTTTTAGGTATACAGCGACCTCTGGCGGTTCTAGTGTTAAAGCGGTCATATGATGCTATTTTAAAGATCACACATTATTTTTCAAATACTGTACCCGCCTCTGTCAAACACGTAGTTTTCAACAAAGCCCCCTCCTTTGACAAGGGCAGTCTGCTCTGATTGGCCAGCTGACCCAGTGCATTGTGATTGGCCGAACACCACAAGCACGGTCGGAAATGTAACGCCCCTTACCATAATCGCTTCAGCTTTCAAAGTAAATATCAAGACAGTTAATAATGTCGTTAGTTTTACCATCAGTTCAAGCCCGAAAGGGCAATAGAGTCGCGTGACAGACACAGTGAGACATTAAGACAGTTGACATGCTATGATTTCTGACAGGCAGTTCACTCTCCTGTGATGTGACCCTGTTCCCCTCACACACACACAGACGACGCATTTCTCTGCGCTGCGCAAAACTCCGCATTTGAACAGTCAATAGCAAATACTTAAGCTAATAACAAAACATACTTACTGATTCGCTGATTCGGAAGCGCCAGATTGTCATAGCAAAGTCGGAATTGACACTTTTTTTTTTTTAGAAATAGCCTTTGTGCACAGCCAGCCTTGTACTCTTCTAGTTTAAAAAAGACTGTCGTCCATAAAATGCGTTGCACAAAATAACAATAATTACAACTGCAATAAATAATGGTATGAGATTAATGTTTTAAATGTATTTATAAGTATACAAATAAGAAATGTTGAGGGGAAAAATGCATACTTTTCAACAAACTTCTCAACTAAACTACCAGTAAGTGGCGGTAAGTCACTTAATGAGTGAGTATTGAGTCATTCATTCAACTGATTGAGTGTGTTATTATGCTGGTATCTTAAGGACTTTCGTGGACAGCTGACTCCTAAAGATTTTGATATTCTTCATATTCTGTATGGTGGTCAGATAGAAATTAATCTTTTCCAATGAATTTAAATAGATTTGACCTTTTATGGGCATTTTACCTTTATAAAGCCATTTTTCTAAAAGTGTGCAGTATCTTTTGAGTCAAATTCTTACATTTAATCAGTGAATTAGAATAATAAGACATTTGGGCTGTTACCAAGCAAATTAAATCAGTATCAACAAAATTCATCTTTGCAATCCAGACATAAGCTGCACCTGAAGTGGCATTTAGATGTGTTTACAATGCATAAATGATGTTTTGATATATTAAACATTGAATACTGATATTTGAAATAATTTAAAAAATTAAAAGATACTTTAAATGTGAAATTAAAACCGCCAGTAGGTGGCAGTAAGTTATGACTTAAGTGAGTCATTGCGACTGAACCGAACCATTTAAACAGTTGATTAATTCGGGAACGAAACACCGTCATGACGCAAAACAGTGTTGTGGCTTTGTTTGGAGTTATTTTTGTTGGCGAAATAGTGCAAAAACAGGCAATATGGTGTCTAAAACGTAAGTTTCTTAATACAATTTTTTACAACAGTTATTTTACTGTTGTAAAAAATCACATTTGTATATGGTAATTTTTGGAGAAGAAAATGCACTCTTCCATGTGAACTTGATTAACTAGATGAAGTGGTATAAATATACACATTTTCTGCCCCCATGTCTTGAATTTGTGATCATTCTGAATGTATTTTAATAGACTGAATCATGCCATAAAAGAGCGCTGTAAATGCGCACGCGCACTAGACTTCACGTAATGTGTGCACTCTGTAGGTGTTCTCTCTGATGAGGGAGTAACATACCGCGGGGAAGAAAACATCTTCGGTCTGTCCAATGATTGTAAAGTCATTAGGTCCGTCAGACTGAAGATATTTTAGCGGTAATGAGACCAAAAATAATTATGACCCATCAAATCCGAATTTAAGACATTTTAAGACTTCTTAAGGCCTTATATTAGGAAAACGTTATTTAAGACATTTTAAGACTTTTTAAGGACCCGCAGGCACCCTGTTTAAGCACCAAGAGCTTGCAACACTCCAAAGAGAAAGGAAAACTTGAAATCGTATCCTATGACCCCTTTAAAGAATAAATCTGAGACTGGCATGAGGCTACTCATTGTAAAACTAGAGGTAAATGGACTGAGACTTCCATCCACTGTGATTGTCTGCATTATCAATCAAACAGTACTCTGCTGAAGAAACTGCATATGAATACTAAACCATCCATTGAAGAAACTCAAATAAATTGATCGATACACAAAGATGTAAGCCTGCCATCGCCATCAATCAATGGTAATGGACTAACATGAAGTGGTCCTGTGAATGGACAACGCTTTTGAAACCTTTCTGAATACTGAATACCACAGACAAGGAGATAATTTTATTAGAAAAACAACTGTTTTGAATACTCGAGCAGATAACGGAGATATCCTACTAAATTTAGAGCTTGAAGAAAACAAAAACAACAATAACAGCAACCAAAACAGCACAAACTGCATGTTATGTTTTAGTTGCTGGGGTTTTTGGTATTTCAACAAGGCTTCTTGACTGGATTAACCACTGCTTTTTAGCAGCCAGCACCACCATGAAAACACAGAGAGATAGAACAACAACAACAAAAACATTCCAGTCAACCAACCTTACCAGCTAAATGCTGGTTGACCAGCACTAACCCTGCATAAACTAACAAATATATATATATTTAAAATGTAAATTATTCCTGCGATGGTAAAACTGGAATTTCAAAAGCCATTACCGGTCTTCAGTGGCCTGTAGCACAAAGCGAGATGAACAAACTCAGAGATGCAGAGTAAGTTTTGAGTTGACAAAACCCGATAAAGTCAACCTGGTTTAGATCAGGATCAGCGGGCTCACAAAGCTCAATATAAATGTTCTCTGACAACTCAACTGAACCAGAGTTTGTGATTAACTCTGGAGCACGTGCACCTGAAAGTGTGACATGTGCAGCAAACAGCCAATCACATGGAATGTGGAGAGCATCAGCAAAGCGTCAGTTTGATTCACTTCTCGCGAGAGTCAGCGTAATTCACTTTTCTGCTGAGGATTAAGAGATGTCGTTATTAAATGTAATACATTTAAATGCATTTACAAAAGCAGGAATAAAGACTTCTGCTGCAGCAAAAGTTTAAGGCAGCAGAAAGAAAATATGACTATGCACAGGAATCAACTGTCAACTGAATTTAATTATTTATATATAGTTTCCCACAGAGCTCAAAAGGAAAACATATAAGTTTAGTATATATTAGCTGTCAAACGATTAATCGCGATTAATTGCATCCAAAATAAAAGCTTTTGTTTGCATAATATGTGTGTGTTCTGTGTATATTTATTATGTATATATAAATACAAACACATACAGTATATATTTTGAAAATATTTACATGTATTTATTAACCCAGAACAAAACCTGCTCTGGAGCAGGGTAGCCGTGTAGCGCAAGTTACCATGGTGATGAAACCCACTCAAAACCAACCCATCTTCTTGAGCCCAAAAACTCAGAGTTTGCTCAAACTAAAATTGAATTTACCTGGGTAAAAACTGAAACCGGCTTCATGCTACAGGCCACAGTTTCACATGATCTTTCAGAAATAATTTGGTGCTAAATTATTATCAAATATTATTGGTAATCAAATGTTATTAGTATTATTAATATTATTACTTCTCTTACGTGTATTTCAAAAATAAATTATAAAAACTTGATATAATTCAACCATAATATTTCTCACTATGAAAATAGCCACATAAGCTGGAATGGCATTAAACACAAATAAACAAACAAACAAACTTATATGTATTTCTGCAGTGCTTTGTCAATATCTACTAAAGTATGTAAACAAACAACAAAAATACTCTATCAGTGATCATCGTTTTCAGATAAACAGGCTGACAGGAATAAAATGTTTCTGTCAACTACAGGGTTCATTCACTGTTGATGGCTCTTCATCCAGACTTAATCTGCTCGTGTCAATCTGTTACCTGAATCCAGGGCCATCTGTCATTCTCGGCAGCGGTCCAGGCGTTCACAAGGCCCTTCTTATTCAGCCGGGCAAAGTAGGGGTACCATTTCTGGAGGCCGAAGAGAGCTCGGTGAGTGGAGGAGGCCGTTATCTGCTGGTTGGAGATGATTCCACCCTCCATGCCCAGTGGACCGGAACATTCTGTTCAATACACAACAATGACACACAAATGGAAAGGTTAGACTTTCAGGATACAGACAAATGCAAGCATGGCTCAACTTTACAGATCACAAGGTTTTGACAACTGACAATAGCTTTCAGTAACTTGTTATTTGCATGTCATTATTTTTATATTGTGTTGTGGCTTTGTGTGGAGTTATTTTTGTTGGCGAAATAGTGCAAAAACAGGCAATATGGTGTCTAAAACGTAAGTTTCTTAATACAATTTTTTACAACAGTTATTTTACTGTTGTAAAAAATCACATTTGTATATGGTAATTTTTGGAGAAGAAAATGCACTCTTCCATGTGAACTTGATTAACTAGATGAAGTGGTATAAATATACACATTTTCTGCCCCCATGTCTTGAATTTGTGATCATTCTGAATGTATTTTAATAGACTGAATCATGCCATAAAAGAGCGCTGTAAATGCGCACGCGCACTAGACTTCACGTAATGTGTGCACTCTGTAGGTGTTCTCTCTGATGAGGGAGTAACATACCGCGGGGAAGAAAACATCTTCGGTCTGTCCAATGATTGTAAAGTCATTAGGTCCGTCAGACTGAAGATATTTTAGCGGTAATGAGACCAAAAATAATTATGACCCATCAAATCCGAATTTAAGACATTTTAAGACTTCTTAAGGCCTTATATTAGGAAAACGTTATTTAAGACATTTTAAGACTTTTTAAGGACCCGCAGGCACCCTGTTTAAGCACCAAGAGCTTGCAACACTCCAAAGAGAAAGGAAAACTTGAAATCGTATCCTATGACCCCTTTAAAGAATAAATCTGAGACTGGCATGAGGCTACTCATTGTAAAACTAGAGGTAAATGGACTGAGACTTCCATCCACTGTGATTGTCTGCATTATCAATCAAACAGTACTCTGCTGAAGAAACTGCATATGAATACTAAACCATCCATTGAAGAAACTCAAATAAATTGATCGATACACAAAGATGTAAGCCTGCCATCGCCATCAATCAATGGTAATGGACTAACATGAAGTGGTCCTGTGAATGGACAACGCTTTTGAAACCTTTCTGAATACTGAATACCACAGACAAGGAGATAATTTTATTAGAAAAACAACTGTTTTGAATACTCGAGCAGATAACGGAGATATCCTACTAAATTTAGAGCTTGAAGAAAACAAAAACAACAATAACAGCAACCAAAACAGCACAAACTGCATGTTATGTTTTAGTTGCTGGGGTTTTTGGTATTTCAACAAGGCTTCTTGACTGGATTAACCACTGCTTTTTAGCAGCCAGCACCACCATGAAAACACAGAGAGATAGAACAACAACAACAAAAACATTCCAGTCAACCAACCTTACCAGCTAAATGCTGGTTGACCAGCACTAACCCTGCATAAACTAACAAATATATATATATTTAAAATGTAAATTATTCCTGCGATGGTAAAACTGGAATTTCAAAAGCCATTACCGGTCTTCAGTGGCCTGTAGCACAAAGCGAGATGAACAAACTCAGAGATGCAGAGTAAGTTTTGAGTTGACAAAACCCGATAAAGTCAACCTGGTTTAGATCAGGATCAGCGGGCTCACAAAGCTCAATATAAATGTTCTCTGACAACTCAACTGAACCAGAGTTTGTGATTAACTCTGGAGCACGTGCACCTGAAAGTGTGACATGTGCAGCAAACAGCCAATCACATGGAATGTGGAGAGCATCAGCAAAGCGTCAGTTTGATTCACTTCTCGCGAGAGTCAGCGTAATTCACTTTTCTGCTGAGGATTAAGAGATGTCGTTATTAAATGTAATACATTTAAATGCATTTACAAAAGCAGGAATAAAGACTTCTGCTGCAGCAAAAGTTTAAGGCAGCAGAAAGAAAATATGACTATGCACAGGAATCAACTGTCAACTGAATTTAATTATTTATATATAGTTTCCCACAGAGCTCAAAAGGAAAACATATAAGTTTAGTATATATTAGCTGTCAAACGATTAATCGCGATTAATTGCATCCAAAATAAAAGCTTTTGTTTGCATAATATGTGTGTGTTCTGTGTATATTTATTATGTATATATAAATACAAACACATACAGTATATATTTTGAAAATATTTACATGTATTTATTAACCCAGAACAAAACCTGCTCTGGAGCAGGGTAGCCGTGTAGCGCAAGTTACCATGGTGATGAAACCCACTCAAAACCAACCCATCTTCTTGAGCCCAAAAACTCAGAGTTTGCTCAAACTAAAATTGAATTTACCTGGGTAAAAACTGAAACCGGCTTCATGCTACAGGCCACAGTTTCACATGATCTTTCAGAAATAATTTGGTGCTAAATTATTATCAAATATTATTGGTAATCAAATGTTATTAGTATTATTAATATTATTACTTCTCTTACGTGTATTTCAAAAATAAATTATAAAAACTTGATATAATTCAACCATAATATTTCTCACTATGAAAATAGCCACATAAGCTGGAATGGCATTAAACACAAATAAACAAACAAACAAACTTATATGTATTTCTGCAGTGCTTTGTCAATATCTACTAAAGTATGTAAACAAACAACAAAAATACTCTATCAGTGATCATCGTTTTCAGATAAACAGGCTGACAGGAATAAAATGTTTCTGTCAACTACAGGGTTCATTCACTGTTGATGGCTCTTCATCCAGACTTAATCTGCTCGTGTCAATCTGTTACCTGAATCCAGGGCCATCTGTCATTCTCGGCAGCGGTCCAGGCGTTCACAAGGCCCTTCTTATTCAGCCGGGCAAAGTAGGGGTACCATTTCTGGAGGCCGAAGAGAGCTCGGTGAGTGGAGGAGGCCGTTATCTGCTGGTTGGAGATGATTCCACCCTCCATGCCCAGTGGACCGGAACATTCTGTTCAATACACAACAATGACACACAAATGGAAAGGTTAGACTTTCAGGATACAGACAAATGCAAGCATGGCTCAACTTTACAGATCACAAGGTTTTGACAACTGACAATAGCTTTCAGTAACTTGTTATTTGCATGTCATTATTTTTATATTTTATGTGAAGGTATCATATACTACTGGTCAAAAATTTGGAATAACATATAGTCTGCATTTATTTGATCAAACATACAGTAAATCTTCAGTATTGTAAAAGAGCGGTTCCCTTTCAGTCGGTCACTCTGACCGATGAAATTAGGGAGGGTTACATACGTAACCGAGACGTTTTCTATTTTAATATATTTTAAAATGCAATTTATTCCTGTGATGGCAAAGCTGGATTTTCAGCAGCCATTACTCCATGTGTTCAGCAAAGACATATGAAATTAAATTGAAAGAGACAGTAAAGACATTTATGTTTTGAAAGATCACCGAGCTCTAAATCGGCATATCAGAATGATTTCTGAAGGATCATGTGACACTGAAGTCATGATAGTGACTGGTTGAATTTCAGCTTTGCCATCACAGCAATAAATGTCATTACATATTAAAATATTACTATATTTTTTAATCAAATAAATGCAGCCTTGGTGAGCTTAAGAGATTTCTTTCAAAAACATAAAATTATGTATTTGTATGGAATCTATAATCCATAAACTTACAATTAATATGTTCACTTTATGTATGAACACATGTCTAAAACACCAAAAGTACATGGCCATTTACAGTATGTATCAAGCATACTCTTCCACTGCCTCTATGTTATCTTTGATGCTTCTCTGGTTCATTCCGGAGTCTGCGTCCTTGTTAGAATCACTCTGGGAATCACTATCCTTGCTTGTATGCTTCTCCGAGATCTCTCCAATGGACATAAATCTTCTGTTATGAAAATTATTTCCTTTCATTTAGAATCTGAGCTGATTTCCAACATCCCACCTGGGGTCATGATTCCACCCGCAGGAATCCCGTTTTGCATGTTGTTTTTATTAAGGGCAGTGCTGGCCTTGGTGTTCTCATTTTCAAATTACTAAAGCTCATAACAAGCCACACTGTATGTGAACATGTTTCCATGCATTTCTAATCTTCATCCTTGAAAGGTGTGATTTGTTTCTTCTAAAGGCTCTCTTCCAAAAAAAGAGTTTTAGGGGCTTGTCTCTTATTTTTAAAGTCAGCATGTGTCACTTATGCCCACATGCTAAAATCTAATTGGGTGGACAACTTCCACCTACATTTTCATTAAAAGAAAAGTGTAAAACAGAAAATTAGAATTCCAATATTTGCCAAAACAATGCTTTAATATTTCAGTTCCCTTTCAGTCGGTCACTCTCGACGTCACGTCGGAGGACCGACGAAATTGGGATCTCGCTTAGAGGGACCAATCTACTTCGAGTGTAAACTAAACGAGCCAATGCACATTGGCATGCGATTATTGCATCCAGCTGCTGTTTAAATTTAGCTTAAAATCCTATAATAGGCTGTTTTTAGCAACATAGCCTATGTGGCTACAAATTTGATCAAAAATACAGTTAAACAATAATATTATAAAACATTATTGCAATTCAAATAATAATAATAATAATAATAGTAATGGTTAATTGTGACATTGAAGACTAGAGTAATATATATATATATATATATATATATATATATATATATATATATATATATATATATATATATATATATATATATATATATATATATATATATATATATATATATATATATATATATATATATATATATATATATATATATATATATATATATATATATATATATATATATATATATATATATATATATATATATATATATATATATATATATATATATATATATATATATATATATATATATATATATATATATATATATATATATATATATATATATATATATATATATATATATATATATATATATATATATATATATATATATATATATATATATATATATATATATATATATATATACAGGGCCTAAAACTAACTTTTTGCCACACCTGCCAATGGCCGGTGACATGATAAAATTTATCGGCCAAAAATATTTTTTTC